ATCGAGTTGACCGCCTTTCAGCTGTCATTGGCCAATTCTTGTCTTTCACGTCGGCTGTTGAGAATCAGCGGCCAGAATACCTGGCACAGGTCCGACATTACATGCGCAAACTATACAAGATTCAGTTTGCTGTCTCTCCCAATCCCGACATATCTTTTGGGTTAGATCTCGCGGGGTTGCATCGCATTCTTGGAGGCCGTCCAGCTCAGGCAAAACCAAAGAAGAGGCGACGACCTCGCTTTACTTTTGGGCAAGACATTGACCTCGATGCATCGGATGGTACTCGCTGCATTTGTCGTGGGAGGACAGGATATCTCTTGGGATATCCCACTGTCGAATGTGAAAGTTGCAATAGGCGATACCACACTGGTTGTGTCTTCTTCCCCTTGGACAAAGCCAATCCTCAGCCTAATCCCCGATTTATGTGCCCAATTTGCTGCCTGCGTAAAGGGAAGACCTACCAATATTCTGATGTTAGGGTGATACCTTCTGGTAAGGAATCCACTCTTGCTCGATGATAAATTGCTCACGAACTTTGCAGACGGCCTTCTCCCGGAGAAGCCGCCAATCGATGCTTATGTGAACACCAAAGAGATGCTGGACACATTCAACAAGGGAATCATCCTTAAGAAGATGCCCCCTCCTCACATGCATACATTGTTCGTAGAGCTTGTCCAGGTTCAACCAGGCTGTGATGGCACCACGGCATTGAATGGTAGCATAAGCGCGCCAATGCACCGACCGCAGGTGTACACTAGCCATGCTTTCCGTGCTAGTATGGCCGGCGCATCCACTATGCCGCCGTTCTCGACGTCGCACCACGGCCCATCCCAATCTGTATCAGCGATTCAGCACACACCCTCGGGGATGAGCACGTTCAGCGCATCCCCTCCGGCATCGAACGGGTACGCAACAATTCCGCCGCCGCCGTGGTCACGGTGGGGCACCATGTCTACCCCGTCGATGCCGCCTTCAACGCAGCGCCGTGGCGGCCATACCGGCGGCGAAAGCTCGCGAGCCAACGGGACGCCGCAGCCCTCTGGCCCGAGCTCGCGGAAGCGGAAACACGTCGACGACAGCCTGCCGCCGTCGCAGAACCGGCCGCAACACATGCACCATCAGCAGCATCCCTCGGAGGAGGACGCGCGGCCGAGCAGCTCGGCGTTCCCGCTGAAGCGCCACGCGGGGCCGTCGCTGACGCCGACGCCTTGTCGCCGCCGCGGCCTATCCAGACGCTCTCGCCGTCGCTCGCGATGATCGTGTCGCCCACGAATCAGGCGGTGCACACGTCGAGCTCGAACCAGCTCGCGCCCCTGCGGAACGGGGCAGGTGGATCGCCTATCCTGCCTCCTGTGAAATCTTTGATGGGCGAGCCGCGTCCAGGCTCCCTGTAGAGTCTTTGTTCTTCTTGGATTATGTAGCTGTTGTTTTGACCAATTTTTGATTACCTGCTGTTTTTTGTATCCTCCGCTGTTGGGTTTTGCTGTCTTAATTCGTATTTTACTCTATGCCGCACTATTTCTCTTTCTCTTCGTCAGATCCCCTTTTTTATTTATTTGCATTACCGCCTTTCTCGTTCGTCTATGTAGCAGGATCTTGAAACTTGTGTTATTAGAATTACAATGGGTATATGCACTCTACAATGTCATCAATTGACAACATAAGCAAAAATAAAATTTCCCCTTCCATCTATCTATTTCCCCATGATTTATGTCTAGCTATGTATATGAGTGCGTGATAAAAACATCTGCAGCATGATGTGTAATGCATGTGGAGCGACGGATGAGAAAACAATTTGCCCAACGCAGGAAAGGTCGACGACGAAAAATGTCACGACGGTGAACGAAATCGAAGCCACATGTGTAAGTACAATCAGAAAGGGATGGAGGCCGTAATATCGTATGTAGTCGTGAGATGAAGCATGATAATAACGTTCGTGGGGTCGGTCGGAGGCCACGAACAACGAACATAGCATAAACCAATAAAGCGAAAGAAAAAAGCAAATAAAAAAGAGAAAAGCACCAGCAACGTCTTAGGACTGGGCAGCGCCCATCTACCCACCGCCCAGCCCCCGATCGTGCCATTCTTAAAAACAGGCAGGTCCGCAGATCACTTGCGCACCATGAAGCGGTACGTCGAGTACCCGCCAATAATCGCAAACGCCACCAGGCCCGCGATAATCGAGATAAACCAGGTGTATCCCTGCCGCAGCGCAGTCGCAGCGCGTCAGCGATGGTGTGCGTGGTAAGATGACAAGAAAGGGAAGGGACGTACGTCGACGCCTTGGCCTGGAACATGCACGTTCATGCCCCACAGACCTATCGGACGGAACATGGATGAGATGTGGGTTTTTAGACGCGCGCGAATGAAACAAGTATGGAAAGCAAGCGGGCAGCATGAGAAAGAATTTGCCATGCTACGTTATGGCAAATACGTGTGGGCGTACGCGTGTAGGATAAGCAACTTGGGCGCGTGTATGCGTGCAGGCGACATCATGGACCAAGAGCACACGCAAGATGATGCCAAAGCCAAAATGTGAAGGGCAAAGAAAACTCACCAGTGACCAGGTTCATGGGAATCAGGACCGTTCCGAGCGCCGTGAGCTTGGAGAGCACGTCGTTGATCTGGTTGTTCGCGTCCGTCATCTCGATCGAGATCTGCGCGAGGTAGTTCGAGTGCGAGCGCGAGAGGATCTTCTCATAGTGGTTCAGATTCTGCGTCATCGTGATCAAATGGTCCTAAAAACAAGAGAAAAAAATATTTAGTTATTCGACGACAGTAATCAAAATAAAAGAGGGGTAACCTGGATATCAGATAGATAGAGACCCTATAAAGATAAGATAAAATAAGCGAACACCTTCGAGGAGGACTTAGACACAGGACATACGATATCCGACGTCGGCGCCACTCTCCAATTCTCATTGCACCGCTTCGCCAGCCCCTTCACCACATCCGCCTTGTTCCCCATCAGGCGCAGCAGCCCCATCACCTTCTTCCTGCACGTCCCGATGCGCCTCAGCATATCGCTCTGCTCCGCCTCCTTCAGGATGAGCACGAGCTCGTCGATGCTGTCGACCTCGTACTCGATGCCCTGGATGAGCGGCCCGAACGCGTCCGTGATGTCGTCGATGAGCGCGTACGAGATCCAGTCCGAGGTCACGGAGATGTAGTCCTTGAGCTGCTTGATGCGGCGGCGCACGTTCTGCGGGTGCGGCGTCGGCCGGAAGTGGAAGGAGAGGATGCCCTCGCGGAAGACGATGATGTACATGTTCAGCGGCTCGAGGTGCGTCGGGCTGTACGGGTCCTGGTCGAAGGAGCGGAAGCAGACGAGGTAGTAGTTCCGGAAGAGCTCGATCTTCTCGCGCGTCTCCTCCATCAGGATATCCTCCGTCGTCAGTGGATGGATGGAGAACACCTGCGGACGTCGTGAGTGGGTCTGATACAGCGGAGAGGCGCGCAACCGACCTTGCTGAGCATTTTCATCTCCTCGTCCGTCGGGCTCTGGACGTCCAGCCACCATGTGTTTCCGTCGCCGTCCTGGTCCATCGCCACGCCCGCGCCCACCATGCCATTGTGGCCGCCCTTGTCCACGCCGCCTGCGCCAGTGCGCCTGTTCAGCGTCGCACTGCTCCTCCCGCTCGCGTCGTTCGAGTGGTCATTCGGACCCGCACCGTTCGTCTTCCCGGCGCCCGAGTGCGGCGCCTTGGCCGCTTCCTGGTACGGGGGCGAGGCTTTCGCCTGCGGCGCCGCCTTGGCATCGCCCGCGAGCGTCGCCGCCGCGTCCTGGCTGCCCGCCCGCGACGGCGGGATCCCCGCGAACAGCTGCGCAAACGTCTGGCCATCCGCCGGCAGCTCGGCGAGGCTGCGCGCGTGGATGGTCGCGGACAGCGCGTTGGAGTAGAAGGAGAAGCGGTACGGGCGCGCGTGGCCGGTGTTGAGGATGCCGCCGGGGACGGGGAGGCCGACGACGGCGTCGTACGCGGGCCCGGCGGAGGGCCCGAGTGCTGGCCGAGGACCTGGCCGAGGCGCGCGGAGAAGGAGGAGGGCGGGTCGGCGGCGGCGGATTCGAAGAGGGCCATCTTGCCGCCGATGCCCTTGCGGTGGGAGCGCGGGTGGGTGTTGCTCTGGCTGAGCTTGCGGTGGCGCAGGGGCCGGAACGAGGCCTGGTCTTCCTCGGGGGACTGGAGCCCGTCCGCGGGCGGCGGCGGGGCGTCGCCTGCGCTCGTAGGCAGATGGGTGGAGCTGGAGGCGACGGCATTCGAGTCGGTGTCATGGACGGGGGGCGGTGGTTCGACGAGGCTGAGCTTGGGGCGCCTGGGCTGGGCGCCGAGGGGGAAGCGGGACTTGTCGGGGGAGTTGAGGCCGAGCCTGTCCTTCTCCTCGGCTGCGAACTCTTCCATGCCGGTGAAGTCGAAGGCGGACTGAGAGACATTGGCCTGGTAGGTGGGCAGGCCGAAGTTGGAGGCCTGGGGGTCGTCGGTGTGGGGCGAGACGTGGTGGGGGCTCAGCAGCGAGGGATCGGAGCGGCTCATGGGCCGCAGAGAGGGCTGGAGGTGGCTGCGGGCGTCGGAATCGGGGTGGTCCTCGTCGCCGAAGTGGATATCGGCGGCGTGATCGTCGAGGAGGGCAAAGTCCTGCTGGGGGACGGGGAAGGGATCTTCGTCGATGGCGGTGGGGGAGAGGCCCTGGGGACTGGCGCTGAGGAGGGTGTCCCTGCGGGCGAGGGAGAGCTGCATGGCCATGTCGACGTCCATGGTGCGCTGCCGCTCGCGCACCTGGGGGTCATTGGGGTCGAAGGAGCGGTTGAGCGTGGGCGAGTGGCGCAGCCGCGTCAGCTCACTGTGCTCGCTGGGCGAGATGCTCCGCCGCGGAGGGCTGTCGCTGGGCAAATTCGCCATATCAAAAGTCAACCCATTGCATGCCAAAAGAAAAAAATCTCAAAGTTGTTTGGTTGCCATCTCACATCAGCCCATAACCTTCATCCTCTACCATCTTCCACAGCCCCCGTTGTCTAATGGTTATGACGTCAGACTTCTATAACATCAGCTTATATCTGGAGGTTGCGGGTTCGAATCCCGCCGGGGGTTTATCTTTTGTCAGTGCTCTGCTCCGCGTGGAAGGAACTTGCTTTGGCCTTTTTTTCATCTTGATTCTTGTCTTGGCCGCTTCCGAAACTGCCGTTTTCCCCATGTCTTCCTTGAACCTTCCGGTTCTCATTTGTTTTGATCACACATCTCGCCTTCAAATTACGATCTCTCTGCTTGCGCCTCGTGTGTGCCATCACACATTTGTCTCTACCCCTTGTGTCCGTGGTCTCCTCTTCACTGTCAGAAACAATTTCCAAGGAGAATGAACGTATTAGCAGACTCAAGATCCCTGCAGCTGTTAGATTCCTATGTACTAGTACAGCACCCGTGTAAGTAGTCCCTCAAGCACGTTCTTGCCCTCAACGGCACGTTGTTCGAACCGTTCTGCCTTTTTCGACTTATCTTCCCCAGCCACGCACTTGTTTTATCTGCAAAGTGGGCCAGAGTGGGCCCTGAATGCTATCGCATCCGCTGAACCCTCGTGTACTCATGTCATTTCCGTTGTTCATTTACTTACTCACCACCCAATTCCCTCGATCATGGGCTCCCGGAGAACACGTTGAGAAATCAAAAGGGCAAATCACACTTTAGACAGGCCGGCGAACATGCATAGGGTAGGATGGATCTTATACTGCGCTATAAACATATCGCTCGTTATGTGTCTCAAGTGGTCTAGGGCTTGCTTTGTCGCGTGTTCGGAGCCCTTACTTCTGGACCTAGAGGTTTGAAAAATAAACGTTGACTACTAACCAGGCGTCTGACGGGCATTCGATTCCAACAGGCCCAGTATTGCATATTTCTTAAAACCAACCAGGACTACTTTCTTCACCGGATTATTGGTTCGTTCTATATACTTACCTTCCTTGGATAGACTCTGAACTTAATGAACACTACCTTGGCTCGCTAATTCATTACAATGGGTCTTGTACGTAGTCTGCAGTCGCAAAGGCCTTGACATCTTGGTCTCTGGCCATAAAGCGCAGTATTTTGTACTGGTATGAATTTGAGTATATGTTTAGAATCACCTCCTTCAAGAATGGGCGCTTCACCGGCGCTTATATTTGAGACTCCGCCCTATTGAAAACTGGGGGTATAATCCGGCATGTGGCAAATATTAATATACTCCTAACTTGATCTCCGTCCGACCTACTACGCTAGTGGTACAATAAACTGGTCCAGAATACGTAGTCTTGAATAGAGCGTATTATATAGACTTGGGCGACGGTGAGGCCAAAATCTGTACCATTTTCTGTCGTCTATGAACTCCTTCAACCCCGGAGCATCTTCAAGACAAAGCTGTGCATGAAACTGCTCTCACTGCCGGGGTATGCATATTTTCCAACGTGGAAAAACCTTTGAACGTCGTGTGTCATTTGTACAGTATTTTTGTTTCTGGTTATCGTCTATTTGGTCCTAATTCCCATAATGAACTTGGTCCGCATCCCCAAGCGTGAGCTTGTGCATCATTCTTCCCTTGTTCAACCGGCGATTCTGAGAACAAAGAACTAGAGCAGGTTATTTATTCAGGCCTCGTGTATGTTTCTTTCATTTCCCTCGATCGTCTGCGGCTGGGGAAGATTGACAAATGAAATCTCACATCGAGCCCAGCATTCTCACTCCGCAACTGCGTATGTACCACGGGGCTGTTCGCGAAGGTCGACTCGTTCACATCTCAATGATCTCATTATTGACTCGCTGAGCTCATCGAGTTCGAATTTGGATTGACAGGAATACAAACGTTGCTGCCACATTATGGCCGACCCGATGTCATTTATCTATAGAAAACGCTCACTTGCTGGTCTAGTAGTGGGATGCTAAATACACGCATAGCAGCGTGTGTCCTCTCTGAATACAGCCTGAACCGTTTTACTACGCGCCTCTTTGTCAAGGCGGGCGCAGACAGGCGTCGGGCCAGTGTGCAAAATGACCCTTCAGCGTAGAGTTTATTTATACCCTCGACGTCATATCTAGCGGTGATCTTGCCTTCCGAGGGAGATAATTAGATTGCTTGCCCAAAAAGGTGTTGCTGCAGAACTATGACGAATAGCCAAAAAACCCGACACACCGCCATAACATAGCATCATGATAATTTCTCACCATCGCTTGATCATCGCAGGATTTCAGCTTCGCCAAAGCACATCGAACAGTAATGCCACAGATTTCAGCTCCACTTCGACATGAGCTTCTCTTGATGAGATCTTCGCTTTCGTCAGTTGTGTACAGTATCGGACCAGTATGTCTCTTGGGGTCCAATTTTTGTCTGGAAAATCTGCTTTCAAGAATGCGTAATAAAGCCTCAGGAAAACGTATAAAAGCCAAGCTCTCGCCACTCTCGCCCTCGCCACCCTGCGGCCGCCACCCCCACTCGTCGCAATGACAGTGGGCCGTCCAACCAGTGCAACACCGGAACCCTCCAGTGCTGCGCCAGCACCCCGACCGCGAGCGACCCGTCCACCGCGGCCCTCCTCGGTCTCTTGGGCGTCGTCGTCGTCCAGGACGTCACTGCCCTCGTCGGGGTGACCTGCTCCCCCATCACTGGCGTTGGCGTCAGTGGCACGTCTTGGTTCGTGTCTTATTTATCACCGTGCTTGAATTTTGGATCTTACAGTTACTTCTTTCTATTCGTAGCTCTGAACAGCCCGTGTGCTGCACCGACAACTCCTTCAGTAAGCGCCGTGGCGCCTGCGCTCATTTTATATTTATATGCCGGGATTGCTGACTATTTTGTTGCAGATGGTATCATTGCCTTGGGCTGCACTCCCATTAACATCAACATCTAGGCTATCGTACAAGACTCGGAAAGAAGTGGACATCTAGGATCTTTGTTGTATATTTGCGTATTTTGCCAATGAAATTCGAATTCGACTTTCAACACATTTTCGCATTGAGCAAGAATCGGTATACCATTCTAAACGCATGCCAATGTTAAATAATAGTATGCAGAGCGTTACTTAATATGTCCGAGGCCTACTGAAGCCCAGAAGGACTTATTGCGTCGGTCACAGTCTCGAGGTTCGTCAATAAAGTCAAAAACCCTGCTGAGATCTTCGACCCACTTTTACTCCCCCGCGATAGATTGTCGTCGAATCAATGTACCAACGGCGTTATCTGGCGTTATCCAGGCTGCGTAAGCTTTAAGGTTCCCAGTCTTCTAGGCATCGCCGTCCAGGATTCACAGACGGACGAAACATAACTAGCGGATCAAATTTTGCTAAAAAGTTTCTGTATTACACAGTATTACACCATAATGAATAATGTCTCCTGCCACTGTGTGTAGAGAATATGAGCCCTTGTGATGTCGAAAATTCTTGTATAGATTTTGGGAGGTTGACTGTCTCATAAAATAGACCCTTGGTCACTCAGGCGCTTAGCGGGCGCTTAAATCCCATATGTAGACCAGACCGCATTTGGCAATACTTATTCCGGATGATTTACGCTCGATTGGGTATGCCGCGATGCCGCGTGCACGTGCATGATCGCCGTGTCTCGGATCACGCCGCGGTCGGCGCGCGGCTATTTGGGCGTGCACGCGTGCGCGCGCGTGTCTATTTTTGTAAATTTCGCCGCGCTGCGCTGGCAGCTTGGGGGCGCGTTCCCTCCTCCCCTGAGCCGCTGAGACTTGAAAAAAAATGTGCCCGGCTCAAATTCCCTGCTCAACTCTGTATTCTGTGTAGGGGTAGTCAATACAGTACTTATGTACCCATTTGTGCTGCTTTTAAGTGGAATAGGACGTGTATTTGCTCTAATAACTGTCAGTAAGTAAAATAGGGCAGTGGTTCACGCGTGGTTTGCTTCAGTAAGTAGTGGTAAGTAAAGAATTTGGCAGGGTAAGTACTTACCTTCGTATGATTTACCATCAGCCCGTAAATCAAGGCTTGATTTACGCCTTGATTTACAGAAATGAGCTAGTTGGCTCACGGCAGCGCCCTAATTCGGTCGCGCTGATTTACACTGCTAGCCACATCAGCGCCCATGTTTACCGAGGCCGCACCCCTCCTGTCCGGCCATCAAATGGACGACACGCATTGCACCGCTGTGTGGATGCGTGCCGCGCGCGCTCACGAGATGTATGCCATTGCACTCCAAATTTTCTTCGCGCTTACGCGCGCTTAGACTTCAGTAGCCTTCAGTAGTAGCTCTAAATATTCTTATGCCCCTATAAGGCACAAAATGGAACTCCATCTACGTGCATTAGTTGCCCATCTTTTGGTACATACTCTACACATTGCATTTTCCTCTTTCCATTGCCCTAGAAAAAGAAAATCGCATTAAAATAGCAAATTTACGGCCTACATTATACTAACTAAAGCTACTTATACTAGGGTGGCCATGTATAATGCAGATTGAATGCAGATATACGGCCTTCGACGTCTGTCGACGCCCTCAACATCTCAGTATCTCAGTGCGACGCATCAGCTGAATTCGATGCCCGACGCATGCCGGTAAGCGATGCCGCGCTCGATTTACGCGACCCTGGTGGATTTACAGTCACCTGCGTAAATCAGGCCAGGTAAAGCTACTTATGCCAATGAGTCTGCGAAACGTTGACGGATGCTGAGCATTCCGGGAATCACCTGTAAATCAATCAAAACCATGAACATGCTGTTGCATATATACGTGGAGATGAGGTGGCAGAATGTTGTCGGGGAACATGACAAAGACACCGGTTCGGAGTGAATTCTTCAATGGCACAGCCACCATTTCACGCCGGGTAGGGACCAACAATTAGGCCCATCCGAGAGACTTTACACGGATTTGCCGCCTTCCTAGGTATGAATAATATCTGATTCTCCCGCTTGACAATACTAAGCCAACATAAACCCACGAAAAGGCATTTCGAAATGGCTGTTATGGCCTGTCGTGTATCTTTTTGGAGTCTTCTTAAAGGTCTTTCTTAAGTCTTCTTCATATATCTGTCCATAAGAAGAGCTGAACTCCCATCCTATTGCTTTACTTAGATTCCTGCATACTCGAATGCTCCTCTTCTGAAGCCCGAAACC